GTATTTTTCATATCAAAATATTTACATACAAGAACTACAACAAAGTAAACAAGTAGAATTTAATATAAGATCTATGCTGATATTTCATTAAAGTAGCCTTAAAGCTATATTTAAAATTATTTACCAAGTTTTGTTTTCCGAGTCAATATAGATCTTGAGTTTATAGTATATTTTCTAATGAAATAATTAGAGTAGTCATTTTAGAAAATTGAAATTACCATTACAACTCCAGAGAATATTAATTTTAATGTACCAATGTGTATATCTTAAAAGAGCACAAGGTAGTCTGCCTATTAGGTGAAAGTATATATACCTGATAAAACAGTCAAAGGGTTAAAAATCAAATAAAAAATATGCATATATTAAATCATAGCCCTGTCATAAAACGAAATTTTTTCATGATTGACTTAACTTAATAAAACCAAGTAGCCAAAGTATTTCTTCCTGTATTTATGACGTCTTGTTTATACATATATATTTAGTTTAAAGCCAGTAATTCGCTTGAAAAAGCGTCAATATTTCATTGAGAAGCAAACTCATAAATACAAAGCCAAACTTAGCGCTTTTGAATCTGTACTATATCTTTTTTGGGCTATATTATGTTTGCTACACATTTCGAAACACCCAAAAGGAAACGTAGGAAACCATTTTATAGGGTATATAAATTCTCAGCGTGACGAGCTTAGTCGATTTAGACATGTCCGTCTATCTGTCCGTCTTTTCGTCCGTTTTTCTGTCTGCATATACGCGAACTAGTCTCTCAGGTTTTGAGATATCGATCAGAAATTTTGCTTTAGTCCTTTTCTCACCAAAAGCTACTCATTTGTCACAACCACCGATATCGGGCCACTATAGCATATAGCTGGCATACAAACTGACCGACCAAAATCAAGTTCTGTCATTGGAAACTTTTTTTGTGTAAAAAGTCGAAACTCGCTGTACATATGGTATATAGGGCAAAAATGGCTTTGGGCTGATTGGACTAATTTTTAACATTTCTTAGCTATCCTCGTAAACATATTTTCAAGCAAATTAAAAATATATGTCTCAAACACTAACCGACCTATTCGGTTTATGGTTTGTTAAAATAACGGAAATCATTATAAGTAATATACGGGAAATGCGGTAATTCGTAGACCAATTTCACATAATTTCGGTATTAAATTATAGTATATCCAATATTATATTGTACCTAGATTGCCTTTTATCTTTCTAGTTTTATTAACCCTAGTGTTATAATCTGGCAACTCACAACTTTATAGTAAAATTTTATATTTTTGATGTTATACATACTCAAAACGTTTTGACATGTGAACGCTATTTGTTTTGTTTACAGTAACTTAAAATATTAATCAAGGCCAAAAAAAGGAATCGCGAACATTTTCGCTCGATTAGTTTTTGCAACTTTCGACGTGGATTAACTCAGCAACAGTGATAAACCTAATTCAATTTATGGCGATGAAACTCGATCGAGGACTTTTAGGGGCGTTTATCGATTGTATGGTGAGTTCAATCAGGGTCGTAGATCACGTTAAGGTGAATTTCGTGAAGGTCGTACAAAATCAGTTTACTCCGGAAGCTATTGATGCTGTGCATTGATACTGCAAGATCGTGATGGGACCTATCGTGAGATTGAGACAACTATAGGCATTAATGATACCAGCATACAATCAATATTGCATGAACATTTTACTGTAAAAAAACTTGTACACGTTGGGTCGCACACAATTCGTCAATCGGTCAAAAATAGGGACATGTCGATTGGTCGAGAGATAAGCTCTCACACATCGACTGAAACAACTGCATTGTTAAGTACTCAAAACATCGATTTGATGAGTCTTCCACCGTATAGTCTTGACTTGGCATCGAGTTATTTCTACGTAAAAATAAATGTTTTTCGTCACCTGAAAAACACATGTTATAGAGACACCTCAATCAGAGCAAAAGTGTTTCGACAATTTATTTAAACGCACGCAAAAGTGTATTGATCTTAATAAAGAATATTTTGAAAAAAAGCGATTTCTGATGTTTAATATTTGTTGCTGTCCTCTAATCCCGAGATATAAAAGGCAACCCTTGTACGCTCAGTTAATTTTGCGAAAATATCTTACATGTTTACTGATATATACTCTATAAAGGCAACGAAAAGTTTAAACATCTTTTATTGGGTATATGGAAAATAAGAGGAGTATTGACCTAATTTTATCTAATTTTAGCAATACCACATATTATATAATTAACAGAATAAGATGCTTTCTAAGTTTCACTAAGGTACCTCACATACCATCACTAATATATATATGTGTGAAATAATATCAGCCGGACGATTCTAAATATCAGCTCTACTGGGGTTAAGGCAAGTTTCCTCATGCAAAAATACATTGTTATTAGAAAAACACGCTCGCTCAATGTTATTCTCACATATGGGCCAACTCGGAGTTCGAAAGGGGCCGTCCATATATTACGTCATTCTAAATTAGGGGGGGGTTGGTCTGCGGATGACGGTAAAGTCAAAGTCGGTAAAGACGGTGTCTTTAAGAAATGACGCTAGGATGATTATAGGGAGGGGGGGGGTTGGTCTAAAATCTGAAAAAATCGATGACGTAATTTATGGACAGCCCCAAAATCTCACATTGGGTATATGGGGGCTAAAGGACTTTTGACCCGATTCAACCCATTTTTGATACAAGGGTATATAATTATCAAAAAAGCGTTCTCCCCGAATATCAATAATATATCTCACAGATTGACAGATAGTTTCGGCAAAAAGACAGCCATTGACTCTGGGGTAAACATATTTGGTATGTGGGGCTTGAACAGTTTTGGTCCGAATTTTACAGTTTTTAGACGTGAATTGGGGTACCTTAGAGGCATTATTTTTGTAAAGTTTTATCCCGATGTATTCATATTGATTTGTATACTCAAAAGTGAGAACATCAGATGAAATTTAAAATTGGTTTATATGGGAAGGGGGCGTGGTTGTAGTCCGATTTCGCCCATTTTCACACTGTAGCATAGAAAAGTCAGGGTTGTGTTTTTACCGAATTCGGTTGAAATTGGGAGGTTCGGGAATATGTGATTTCACCTAAATGTTGGCGGTACCACGACCATCGTCCATTTTTGAAATCTGCTCCTATAGAGCTCTCTTGTACCATTTTGAGTGTGAAACTTAATATCTTTGACGCATTGAGTTATTGATGTATTGCACTTTTAGTAGTTTTTAACAAAACCGATCTATTGGAAGTGGCCGGGGTTATCACCCGGTTTCACCTATTTTCACACTGTCGTAAGAAAGGTCAAAATGATTTATCCTGTGCAAATTTGGGTGTTATAGCTTAAATGTTTGGGAGATACATATATATTATTATGTATTAATATACCTTATGAGCTATCTACACACTTTCTCAAATTAATTTCGATAACTTTGCTGTTGCTTTTACATGTAATTTGTTTGAAAACAGGCCAGAAGCGAGCAGAGAAATGACGAATCGAATACAGCTGTTATTACTATATTACGCTCAATCCTAACTCTTTTTCTGCTTATTCTCATTCTTTTTTTTAATACATAAATCGTTAACAGTTATATTTATATATGTTAGATTAGAATTGCTCTATAGTCTTAATATCCGGCAATATGGCGCAAAAATATTATTTGTTTTAATTACAATGTAAACTAAATTTGTGAAGTCTATCTAATCCTAACTTACTAGGATTTATACTATATACATATATCATCATAACTTGATAAGATTTTTCACTCAGTTCGGTAACAAAAATATATGAAAATGGCGTATATACTTGTATGTCTATTGTACAAGTGTACAACTAACTTCATAAATAAGTGAAAATCGTTTTATTTGGTAATATAGTATATCAGAGAATGGTCTAAAAATATCTCAATAAAATTATTTTGGAATAGTTCGCCTTGCATTATAATTCTTCTAGATTTCCAAGAGTCAAAAGGCTGGCCTCAAGTTTAGTTATGTTTTACATGTTTCCTGTTAAACTTATCAATGTGTTAGAGTGTCTAGTTGATTGGTTTTCATTATTCAGAATGGGCACACTCTCATCTTAAGTGTTTCAGCAAATGTTCTCAGATATAGCAGTTGAATAAAATCGGAGTAGTATGTGGGTTAGATATCAAACGATTAATCTCTTTCAGTTAGTTCTGAATTTCTGTTTGATATTGGTAATACAAAAATTAGAAGACTTTCTCCGCTCAAATATAAAATAAAGCTCATTTAAATAAGTTAAACGATTAGGATAGATATATATTTCGAAACTGCTTCATTACTTTTCGGAAACGAACTGCTCTTTTACTAACGCTTATTTTTATCAAGCTTAAGTATTAAATAATTGAGCTATACCTTTGGTTTACTAAAATTTAAAAGTTTATAAACTGAACAATTGGGCGAATTAGACTGGAGTCTTTGAAAAACATGTATTCTATTGTTGCGCGATTTGAGTGCGTGGAGAGTGTTTCCAGCATTTCATTTCTTTTGCAGTTTTGCTGAATTTACACACACATACATAAATAATTTTATGGTACACTCTTTTTTCGTACATATTTTGAATTATTTTGCTATTAACGATTTAGATCTATCAATTGGACTTAAGTTGTAGAATTATGTTTTTTTTTTTTAGTTTTTTATTTGATTTCAAATTGTTCATGCTTCTCAATACTGCCTGTTTATGTTAGTAAAGGTCTGTGCGTAACCTCATTTGAGTATAAATATTGTACTTACATATAAGTTACCAAATCTTTTTATGAGAAAAAATGTATACACTCTCTTTTGTATACAAATATCGTAAATCTGTCTTTAACAAATATTTTCATTAGTTTTGCAAAATTAGTTAAATAATTTTCTATTCATAAACTAATTACTAAATTAATTATATATGAATTTTTTTTAAGTTTCAGTTTCTGTTTATTTACAAATAAGATTTTCATTTCTTGTTTAGTTTATGCATAATTATAAGTCTAACAACTAAATGCAGGATTTTTAATTTGGCATAGGATATGTGTCCTTTTTAATATATTTTTACCGTTTTTATTAAAGACAACGCTGTTATTTCTTTACAGGTGTTGCTGTCATCTACTTAGTGTAGTACGAAATTAATTTAAATTAGTTATCTTAAAGCTATGCTGTAGCTTGAAGTACTAAATGCCGTTAATAAGCTCAGTAGTGTTACCAGATGTAATTGCTGTAATGTGGTCTGAGAATGTGGCTTTGCCGAGGAGGAACCTGCAATAGTCAGAACGTTAGTTTGAATATGCAAAATAGTTATATTAAGTTTATAAGAGGTTTAGAGTTAGTGACTCGCCACCAAGGTTACCATGTGCACGCGATTTGGCAGCAATTGTTTCACGTGATTCCAGCGCTGGTGCACGATGCTGTCGATCACTTTGCACACTTGCCTCATTGCTTTGCCAGTACAGCGAGGATATTTTGGCCACGCACTAACATATAAAAATAAACATAAATATTCAAAAAGATTTTTTGAGATATGTATTTTTATAGTTTTTTATACGCACTTTCATTTTTATTTCGCCATCTTGAAAATGGATACCCTTAACACGAAATTCCAAGCCTAGTCGCGCCATTTCAAGTCCCTCGCGACCGACCACATACTTTTCATATTGTTTGAGATACGAACGATTTGCCGGTTCACCATTGATGAACCAGCTGAGATGACAGACTGGTTTGGATGGTCCTGAGGTGCAGTTCATGCGAATAACGTCTCCTATTTGGTAGCTGAGTCGACCGCCGGTGACTTTTGGACCATGGTTGGGTGTCACTGCAATTTAATATACCATAAAGTCATTAAATATTAAGTATTTAGATGTAGCTAATGTTTTTGTTTTTACAATTTATTTTACTTTTCCGGGTAATTCTATCATTCTGAGATCACGTCAGATCAAAATAATGACTATTTTCTGCATAGAATAGAGTGTGCGAAAATCCCATCTTTCGATAAAACTAAAGTAACTGTAACCGTTTAATATCTATTATATGTGATCGTAACAGTTTTGCTGAAATGATATAGCTATGTATAAATACGTTATCTTCTGGTTTTAAGATCGATTGCAAACCGAGTTAGAATGCATTTGCAAAATTTCAAATATTCAAAAAAAATCAATAGCAATATGAAATAAATTATTGCACTCCAGACTTTAAGTTTTATCAAATCTGATAAGAATAAAAAACTATCAATAAAATGAAAATTAAAAATATATACTAAGAATATATACTTTTGGGTATCTTGACAAATAAATTTAATGTAAATATTTTTTTTTTTAAATGATATTATGTTATAATATTTTTTTTTTAAGAAATATAAATTTTTAGAAAATTTCTGTGAAAAAAAACTTTAACTTCGATTGCACCGAAGTTTTAATACCCTTCACTAATACAAAAGATTTCTGGTACAGCAGGTATATCCTATAAAGGCTTGTTCTGAAAATTTTTTTCATAGATTGCACCGTTGTCTTATTCAATAGTCCATGCTAAATGAAAAAGATTTCTATTGAAGCTATAGCTATACGCTTTAGTGGTCCGATATCAGCGGTTCCAACAAATAAGTAGCATCTTCGGGACAAAAAACCGTGTTCAAAATTTTAGATCGATAATTTAAAAAAGAAAGAAACTAATTCGCATATATACATACTAAACAGACAGACAAACGGACATGGCTAAATGTATCTTAAAACTAAGGGAACAATTTTTATATATACATACAGAGATATAGATATACACTTTAGAGGGTCTTCGACGTTTCCTTCAGGGTGTTACAAACTTTGTGGCAAATTTTATATACCCTGTTCAGGGTATAAATATCGGCTGCAATGTTAAGTCTTAGTGGTGAAAAGTTAAGGAAGACTCATTCACCTGCTTTTTCTTTTTTCTTTCTTTTGAGCAGTTGAACCTAACAATATTTGAATTTACTTTGAGTCTAAACTGCTTCATTCACAAGAAGTTAACGTATAAACTTACAAATTATTGTAAGTTGGAATCGAACTATGATGATAAAACCTACGACTATGTGTCAAATATTGGAAGGGAAAGGATGCTTTATATTGGGTACTAAATTAATAAGTAAAGTACTATTTCGCTGAACAAGACTACTACTATGTTTTCAATATGTATGTCATCATGTTTGTCCTTTTATATGGTGCAGGAACGTTATGTGGCGATATTGAACTGCTTTAAGCGGTTGTTGTTATTGGTCAGAAGTCAATAAATATACGATTGTGGTAGCTACAGATTGCCTAAATGAAGACTAATCTCAAATGTTGAAGTATTCCATGAAGAGTTGATCTTGTTTTCCAATGAAGAACCGGGTACTAGTTATGTCGAGAGCTTTATATAACGTAATATAGTTAAGTACTTTTGTCTCTTTGCTGAAATGCAAATCTTTGACATAACTTCAGTTAAAACAAATTTACATTTATTTTCTAATGCTACAAGGTTATGGTATATTATTTGTGAATGAAAAGTTTTACACGTATGCACAACGAGTATATATTTACTTAAAATCATATTGAAATTTATTTCTTTCCCATAAATTAGGTATATATTAGCATAAAAATGTATTACATTCTAAGAAACTTTTCTCGACATTTTCATAAAAAGTTAAATTACACTTTTCACCCAGGCCAAATTTTACGCCTGAAAGCATGGAATGCAGAGTATACTCAGAGGCATGTAAATTCCACGAATCATAACATTTCCATAATAAATGAACGTTCTCGCATTTTCATATATAAGTGACAGGCGGTTGAGTGAAAGGTTCATTTTTAAGTACATCATGCATATATATTCGTAGCTTTAGGTTATTTACATTAGAAATGCAAAATCAATCGAAGAAAGGACTAGAAATTTATGAAGAAGCCAAAGACAGAGCTGGGGGGACATATCCACCATTTCTAGGCCGCATTGCATTAAGAAACAAAACCACTTTCCTTTACTTTTATTATTATGTACCTTATGAAAATTGGACAAATATGCAAATCAGACGGACAAATACCTAAAATATAGAAACAACGTTTTTTGACTTACAAAAAGTTTTTGCTTTATATCTTAGAAAAATATGGAAATAGCAAAACAATGAATTTTACATATACCCAGCAAAGGTTGCTCGTCCATATTTGTGAATAAATATGGCAACGTATTTCTTTTTATGATTGGCCTCAAGGATATTAAACCGCTTTTTATTTTCATACGTAGACAAGCTACTCACCGAAAGAGTGAAGTTCTCTATTGGCAATACAGGAGGCAGAAGCCGTACCATAAAATATGCAAAAGCAAAAATTATTTGAAACAAAAGTCGTTAGTCGCAGCCGCAAAGTAGCGTTAGGTAAGTCAGCGAGTTGTTTTTGGTAAATTACATGTAACTTGCTCCTAACTGTTGGTGCAAAATTAATAATTAATGGTGATAAAACTTTTAGAATCCAGCAGTATTACCCTTTTGATTGAAATGAAGAGTTTAGTATTCAATTTTAAAATTTAGCAAATAATGAAAATTATCTGCAGCACATTGAAAAGTCTTCGAATGGACTATGATGAAGTATAACAGTAATGATAATGTTTCATTAGGCGTGGATACGATTATCGGAGTAAAAAATGCCAATTCAGATATTCAGATATTATTCAAAGAAGATTCATTATCAGTGGACTCATTATGATCTTCAATCTTGAGGGTAAATTATTGTTTTTTAAATGCCAAATAGTCTGATTACTGAAACCAAAAATCTGACTTTCTGTGGTGTGAAAACAATTGGGTTTTTAAACCCTGAATAGGGTGTATTAAGTATGTTACGAAGTGTGCTTTAGAGATATCGGTCTGAAATTTTGCACACGTCGTTCCCTTCCTAAGAGGTGATCATTTGTCTGAGCCGCCCATATCGGACCACTATTGCTGCCATGCAAATTGATCGACCAAAATCAAGGTTTTGTATGGGAATATGAGATTCGCCCGAGATAACTCACACTCTAAAGTTATCAATAAAACGTGTTGTATGGGAAAGCGCTGTGCAAAGCGAACTCGCAATCAAAACAATAAACCGGCAAAATACCAATAAAAACAATTGCAATATGAAATAAGTTGGGCTTGAATTTTGCGATTTGAAGAGCTGTGGACTTTTTCCGCACTTAAATCTTAAGAAAGTGTCCGTTGTAGAAAAACTGTGTGATAATTAAGAGGTAGTTGCCGTGGCATATTTTTAACCAGAATACCAATTGTATCAAAAAAAGGTATTGAAAAGTTCGAACAACGCTGTATCCGTCATATACAAATAAACCATTCGATAGCACCTGTGTTGACTAACTTTTAGAGAAAGAACACGATATAGAGTAATCAGCAGGCCAAAATAATTAGTTATATAAGTATATGCAGGATAGGAAAGGCTCAGATAAATTTTATCTATTTAATCTAATGGTACGTGTAACACCCAGATCTATTAAAATTGATACATCACCAACTAATCGATACCTAAAGTATAAAGTCCGCCATAAGGGTGGAAACGAGTATAATGTATATATGTATGTATTGAACTAGAAGAAGGGATGAACCTATTTTGCTCATAGAATTCTATTAAGACATTTACTATTTTTACCAACAATCAAAAACAGATAGCTGAGACTGTAAGCATCTCGGAAGATTTTTTAATTTCTATAGTTTTATTGACCGTCATATTAACTATTGTAAGATGGTTTCAGGAAGATTTGACTCATTTTTAATCTATGTCTAGAATATTATGTTTCATACTATATTTGGTTCAAATCGTTCGGGCAGTTGCCACGAATTGATATTTCGCCGACACATGTCCACTTTCTAAACTTTGGAGACAATTTTTTTCCACTCAATTCTAACTATGATATGTACATATACCTTTATGTAATGACTATTTAAACTCCGTTAAAATTAAACTTTTCTCCACATTCTCCACAACTACATTTCATAAACACAAATGTGTACAACATAAAAATGCAACACAAATTCAAGCAAAAACTCCAACGGCGTTATTAGACCGCAAACAAAATATTCTACAAAATAGGTGAACCAACCACTAACTGAGAGTAGATTTTTTCACTCCTCAATAATGTTTTCCATTCACTTTTGGCATAGTAAACTTGCTTCCGTACTCGTCCTTGCACATATAGAGTAGAAGTTTTGAAGCGTCTATAAGTGTATATAATTGCATAATTTGCTTTGTGTGGGAAGGGAAGACAGATTAAAGCGTTGAACTTTATGGCCAATATGCATAGTTGGTGATGTTGTCACCGGAGTACCGCTAGTCTGCGAAGAATGTGAATATTATACCTTGCGAATCAATGGAAAAGATAAACAAAAGGAAACACACACCCCTAACGGTGGTAAGCCAAGTCAACTTATCTTGAGCTTACGCTGAGTTTGCGGTTAAATTACAGGCATCATTTCAGGCAAGGCAGAGAAGTTCTTGCTAATGCTGAGGCAGTGGCTCAAAAGCATTCATGCACATGCATCGTCGAAAAAGTATGTATACGAATGTGTTCGTATGTGCATATACTCGTAAATAGTTGGGAGTGTGATATGTTATATTATCTAGTGGTATTTTAAATATTGCCTCACTTAAGCTTACCGCTCTCCTCGCACACGAAATTTTGAGGCTCCGAAGCGCACACTTTATTCCACTTGTAATTCTATTCATAATATACTGGAGATACGCAAGATGTATAAAAGTGATACCACTCTCTGATATACGAACAAATATACGCGCCTAAAGAGATCTAACCTACATTGAAAGAATTTAATAGAAGCCGAAGAATTTATTTAAAATATAAAAACTTTATATCTGCTCTTGAGTATTGGATCTAGTCAAGACATGTACTGGATTCGAAATGGACTTCCTTTTCAAACATAGTTTCATTATTTTTATAGGTATTTACTAACTTTTTCACTTAGGCGTTCGATTCTTAGTTCAGGTAGCAACCGTTGTTTTCCCTACTGGGAAGCTTATAAACAAAACCAACTTCACTTATAAGTGCTCTGAATAGGAAAGCACTAACCTTTTTGGTAATGGAAGCGTACAAATACAGATGTGTATATTTATTAATATCTAATAATTTACGGTGTCAAATAAATGCAATTGGATGCGTTCATATGAAGGAACATACAAAGAAGATTGCATTAAAATAATCCGCACAAAAATTATATGCAGCATACATTTTAAGAATGTCGAGCTATTTATTAGAAATGCTTTATTCTCTAAAATTAGCAATTGGGAAGTCGTTCGGATTTACATGAATACCAAAGCTTTCAAACTTCAAGTATGCTGCTACAGTTTCAATTCCAGCTTCAGACATGACCAACACACGTGAAGTTTTGATTCGCAGTATTAGCAAATTATTCCTTAGAGTACAAACGATTTGTTCGGTTTAAGGCTACTCATAATGCTACTCTGATAACTTTGGTTGCACCGAAGCTATAATACCCTTCACAAATACAAAGGCTCCTTACAAGAACTTGATTCCGATCAATTTGTATGGCAGCTATATGGTATAGTGACCTGATCTGAACAATTTCTGCGGAGAATACATTGTTGTCTTAAACAATAACTCGTTCCTATACTAATACTTTATTCCGATTGTTCAATTTGTATGGCAGCTATATGCTTTAGTGGTCCGACATCGGCCGTTCCGACAAAGGACCAGCTTCTTAGTGAGAAAAGGATAGGTGCAAAATTTCAGATTGATAGCTTAAAACTGAGGGACGAGTTTATATATATTCGTACAAACAGACAGACAGACGGCAATAAATTTGAGGCTCTCGATTAGGAATATGAAATGTAGAAATTCTCTTCAGTTGCATGTGAATATACACAGTCGCTTATCGCTCTGCCTCTGCGCTGTGCCTTTATAAATAATTTGGACGCTTAATTAAAATTTAAATAGACTAGTGCATGCGCTCAATTTTCTTCCTGCAGCTTTAAAAGGCAAAGCGAGTGAAAATTCCACTAATTTTTAATTGGTCGCGTTTCTGGTTGAATGTTATTTTAGTTGAACGGGTTCGCTGTGGCCGCTATTGTGTCGACGCGTTGCTGCAGCATTTTTGTATGCAGATAAATATAGCATGCAGTACTCACGTATTTACTAGGGTATATATCTTCCCCTAAAACTTAAAGCAACGTAACAACACTTCTCATAAACTTACATGAGCAAATAAGAACCATGTAAAATAGAAAATACTTAGAGTGAAACAAATTTTACATTATAACTGATAACAGAAGCCTTTCGTACATACATATGTATACTATATATGTAAAATGAACTAGTGAATCGTAATCAACAAAGAAGTCAGTTTCGAATTTTTTGATAATACGTTGTTTCGCATTTTAGCTGACAATATAGCTAATTTAAAATAAGGGCTAAACAGCCTGTTATATTACTTACTAACAACAGTCATCGTCTCGGATTCGGAAACTGTGTTGAATGCTGGTGCTTCACCGGAAACTTCGCATTTGTAGACTCCTGTCGACATCAGTGTAACGCGCCGCAGTGTCACTTTTGTATCTGTTGAATTGCGAACCTTAAAAAAACCAAATCAAAGCAAAGATAATGTTAAAACAATGATGTTATTGTTATTTTAATGAACAAATATTTAGTCAGTTTATAAAAGGCATTCTTCGTCAATAAACTTTTGTTGTCAATGTTGTCGGAAAGGTAGAGAATGCTGTTTTGATATTCAAGTATTAAGCAATATTATATAATATAATAAAATTTTGAAATTGAATAAAGTAAGTAAAATCTCAAACCATAGCTTTTTATAGCTTATGGGGGCAAAGATAACTGATTAGCTTTAAGTATTACTTTTACAGGAGAAAATATCTGTTTTTTGTTTGCGCTAAATAGTGGGCTTACAATGTTTAGGTTTCTCTATTAAAAATCAAAGCAACGTCGAAATGAGGGCGAGATATTCGGCCGAACGCCTAACATTTATGTACATACATAACTTTCACTTACTTCGAGAGGAAATATATTTTCCGTAAATTAGCTTGGATTTTCAACCACAATACTTGTATAAATGGCTAAAGCTACTGTTATAGAGACTACCACAAACCTTTACACAAACAACAGCTAATGAGATAAAAACTGTTGATCTTTTTAATTTTTTCGACTATTTTCCCTCTCCTGCAGTATTTTCAAACCTGGAGAACGCTGACACAGCATGACTTAGCATCGAAATAATTTGTTGTGCCCAAACTTTGGTGGAAATGGTGGAGGAAAAAGTTAGTCAAGCCAAGAAAAAGTTTGAAGTGGCAGAGCAGCAAAGTGAATGTTTGCAAAAAGAAAGCGAGTCAGTCATGCAATTAAATTTGCGTTAGTGAAATAAAGATTAATGTATTTTGAATTTTCCACTAAAATTTCATTATTCAATCGGATGTGGCAAAAACGCGAAGCTACCAAAAAACACGAGTGATGGTGAAAGAACTCAACCAACTGTTGTGCCATTGCAATCGGTGGGAGGGGCAAAAGGAGTGGGGAAAAGTTTACTTTTAAAGAATTCTTGGTGCGCACTATTAAGTAGCGATATTGAATAAAGAAGTTTGCTATAAGAAACTAAGCTATTGGTTGGTCGACATTTCTAAAAAAAGCTATACATATACAGTGAAAATGCATACTGAATAATAAATAAACGTCTCAAAGTTGCTAAAAGTGTCAGGCCTCAATTCTTGACGCCGTTGCGGATCATCACTAAAACGCATTACTTGTTTTGTTGTTGTCTGTACATACATAAAAAATCTAACATGACTACATAATTGTACCTATTTTTTTAGAAGAGTACAAGCTGAGTGCAATATGAGTACAAGATTATGCAAAGAAAGGGACTTATCATTTGTATGCGTTGACTCCTCCGAATTCTTTCCCTCAAATCATTTTACTTCGCGAACTGCAACTTGCAGACTTACAGATGCACTCATGCATATATGGGATGAGGTTTCTTTGCCTAGAAATTATTGTAATTGCAAAAGTTTGTGACTGTGGGGATAAAGTAATGCCTGCTTGCGGCATTTCTGGTCGCCTAACCAAAGCTGTTAGTCAACTTCTCATTTCTTACTTCTTTAAACTAGATGCTTTCACATTTAATAGTGCATGTTTGCTCTATTTTCGTCCAACTTTTCGCAAAGAAATGTTTAGATATAATAAGTATTACTAAATGATGCATTTGCTCAGGTCCCGCAACGCGGTCTCCCCTCTACAGCATTGACATTAGCTTTCGGAGGACATTTCAGCCATGAAAAGGATTCTTATAAATGCTATCACGTGGTCGAATGCGTTCAAATATTTGTAGGAAGCCTCATTTGTTAGTTAACATCAAAACGCACTTAACAAATGCGTCGTATATACCTATAATCGTTCGGGCAGAGCTCATTTTCATTATGATTGTTGTTATAGCTGGCAGAACAATCCTATTTTATTTTACAATAGTTATTGAAAAGTATTCAAGTCAGGCATAATTAAAATAATTTAAAGTTTTGTAAAAGTAAAGAAAAAAATTCCTTCTAAATTTATAAACGGTTCAAAAAATAAATACTAAGTCTGCAATGTTTTAGCATGCAATTGAATCTAATTTTAATATCGACGATCTTATAAAATTTTTGTTTATTTATTTTATTAGCATTTTCTGGGTAGTCGATGAGATTGTTTCTACTAAAATCCAAATAATACTGACTAAAATCTTGCCGTTTTGCTTTCAGTGCACAACAACGTTCCCACTCAGGTGTGTTGTATCCATTGTTACTATTGTACTTGTCGGTGAAGTTGGTTATTATTGCGTTTTCTCAGTACCAGAATGTGCTCGGTTTAATAGCACCCGTTGTATTTTATGTCATACAGTTATTTTCAGTATGTTAATTGCGAAAACAGGTGTCTAGCGGTCAGGAAGATTTTTATACTCTTGCAACATGTTGCTACAGAGTATATTGTTTTGTTCACCTAACGGTTGTTTATATCGCATAAAACTAATAGAGATAGATATGGAGTTTTGTATCTATAAATAATCAGGATGACGAGACGAGTTAAAATCCGAATGTGTTTCTGTCCATCCGTAACTTGAGTAAATATTGAGATATCCTAATAAAACTTTGTATACGTGTTACTTGGCAGAAGAGTGAGGACAAATTCTTTGACGGGCATAATCGGCCAGTGCCACGCCCACAAAACCCTATTAAGTGAAAACCTATAGAGTGTCATAACTAAACTATAATTTGTTACAGGTGATTGCAGTTGCAAGGGACAAATGTGGGATACAATTTTTTAGATATTAGAAGCGGCCCTCCAACAGGTTTCATGTACATATCTCCTAAGCCATTCAAGCTATAATAAGCGAATTCGCTCAGGCAAATTTTTTTGGCGTCCCTACCTACCTTGTGTAAATGGGCGATTTCGGATATAACCTCGTACACTCTCCGTTTGTAGAGGGAATATTTTCAGATATATTTACATTCGGTAAAAAAGAAAAAAAAAACAATCGGTTTTTTTAAATTCTCAAGTGAATGTAACTTCTTAAATAGGTTTTGGATAAAACAAGGGTGCTAGTTGTTTTGCTTGAATCGTAGAAAGATCAAGTGAATGAGTTCGTAAACTTTGTTAATTGGATGTTATTATCAAGAAAACCCGTTAGCTCATAATTCATTCGGATGCAATGAAAGTCGCTCAAATTCGGCAATTTTGACAATGTATATCTATATAAATTTATATCGCCACCTAAAATGCATAAAAACGCATTATCAAAAATTCGAAATTGAGGTTTTTATTGATTATTATTTACTACACCATACTACATATATGTACAAAGTTTTAAGCTTCCACTAACAAATATAACCAAGTTATAAACAAAATTGAAATTTTGTTTCAATGTGAATGGTTTTTCTTCTATAACGTTTTCTCCTTCTCGAGTAAACTTATAAAAAGTTTATTTAGGTATTTTGCATTTTAGGTTAAGACATACTTTTATTAGTCAATGCAAGTAAACGAAAGTCTCCACATAACATTAACTTTGTCATCTCATCAATGACCAAAACAATGATGAGAGGTTATTGTGAAATATTTTTAAATAAACATTAGAATTAAATAGTTTAGCTATCCATAAAAATAGCCATAAATAGAGCAATCCAATGGCATTGGAAATATAATCAGTCAGATCAGTCTTGCAAAACGCTGAAAATAAATTAAGTGTCAGTTTTATTTCGGCACTGAATTTTAAGTTTTCAAAAATGGTATTCCCTTAGTTAAAATAACGATAACAGTAATAGTATGTGCGACTGCAAATGTGATGCAGTAATAGATGTCGTTGCAAAATAATACAAATAAAACTTTGGACAAAGAAAAGCAATTGCATTCGAATCGGTACACTTGATTATTTAATTATACTCGTACTCGCAATTATTAAATGTTTATTTCAGAGCATTTAAACCGTCAAGTTGTATGGAAGCTGCAGGTAGTTTTGAGGATGGATAGTTATTCAACGGCGTCGAAATGGCTCAGTAGATTTTTATAGAAAATAGCAAGATTATACGGAGGGATTTAGCGACTTAACGGAAACTATTAGATTGGTTTGAAAAAACTAGACGCGCTCACTAGTGGTTGTTTACAAGAGTTCTATATTCAAATGAAAACACGCAATGGCAATGAATATTATGCAAAATATTCAGAGTTTATTATTGGTGATTATAGTGGCAATGCTGGCGAGTCCTTAACTGATCATTTAGGAATAAAAGTTTCAACGTAAAATCGTGATAATGTGATGATTCTCCAACAATTTTTTAATGATTTTTAGTGGCGTTTGGTCATTTAACGATAGCTTTTTTAGGTAAACTCATTTCGCTTATCAGCTTTGTGATGATATATCTTTTACTTTTTAGTCACCTAAATAGTGTCTATGATAACGCCCATGTGAAGTGAAGATACGACCAACCCTAAGCTCCTGAAGATTTTTGATGTTGACCTAATTAAATCGATTTGTTTAATTAAATATTTAATTTAAATTTATTGCATTATTAGTGTGTCTGTATTAACCAATAGTTCAAATTTCTATATGTGACTATGCTTTACAATTTCCTTGTAGCATGTTCCTACAGGGTATTATAATTTTGTTCTCCTAAAACTTATTATAACAGCTAAATCGAATCGATATAGGATATACTTGTATACATATACGATCAGATGACGTGACCAGTTGAATTCCAGTTGATTCTCTGTCTGTCCGTCCATGCAAATTGGGAAAAACTTAGGATGTCTTGATGAAACTTGGTACACGTGTTTCTTATTGCAATAAAAAGGTCGGTATTGTTGATTTAGAAAACGCCACAATAAGATGCAAGACTGTGAGGTGGCACAGCAGATCGCAATAAAGAGGGGTATCTGTGGTTTGAAAACTTTTAAAAAGTGGTCGTGCTTTTTAATTTTACGGTATACAAATCGAGAGCCAATACCGTTATCGATATAATTCGCACAAAGTGCCTAGACAAGTAATGACAAGTATATTAAAATGGAGATTATGGCGAGTTTTTTTTTTGTAACTTTTTTTTGAGTGCATTTGACAAAAACATGAATTTATACGTGACGTAATGAACGAGAAAGGAAAAGGTTTTGCTAGAAAAGTTTGACAATTTTTTTCGCGATTTTTTCTCTATCATTCTTGCGCACAATGAATTTAATTTAATATTAATAAAACATTTCTTTATTTGAGCATGGTTAAAAAATTTGGTGACGTATACATATATAAATATCTCTTTTTACTGCCGATTTTGACTTTTTGGCCCTGGTGAACTGGTGAAGAATTTTGGCTGTTAAAAAACTATTTTTGTACCGCTGATAATAAAAGCATACAATTCTTTGTAAATTAATCTTTTCACAATAACATTCCACGTTTAATGGCATTAAACGAGGTATTGAACTGAAAAACAGATTAACCGAACCATAACTAAATAAACCCGACTCTTCAAGTTCTGAGAAGAAATTCCAAATATATACAAGTAGTATATTAGTTCCTTTCATCTATGTGTATATGTATCATTGAAGCGCCTATTCCTCTTGCGCTAAAATATATTGAGGAAACTTTTCGCTTTTACTGCCACGAACTGTTGCACGTTTTTAAGAAATCATCATTAACATAATCATTATTGTGTGGCAACATTAATCATTGTCGGACTGACGGTGCGAAAAATCAGCAGAAAAATTACCAAGGAACTTGTTTATGTAAGTGCCTGGAACCCACTTTGGTATGCACATCTATTATAGTTTATATGTATGTGTGAGAGTGCCAATGTGTGTTTCGACTTTCGAGTGGCACGTACAATTTCAGCAGACCGCAAAAAGCAAAAAGGTACCGCAATATTCTCCCCCTAGAGTTTATTGGCTGACTGCCTGTGCGGCTGTTGGCCGCTCGTGGTGGCGCAAAAGTCATGTTTCTTATTGGTCATTATTATAGCGGTGTGTAAAACCATTGCAATAAATTGCAATAAAACTGAAATTAAATTTTTTATTAACCTACTATTTGCAGTATGTGGAATATGGAATTCGACTGAGTGTTCGATTGTTTGATACTCAGTGTGGTGCATGTTTCATTCATGCTGTATGCAGCTGGTTAAGGGCAATCGCTAAGGACACTGGGGACCGAATGCACAACAGGCACGTTTCTTACTGCCATCGATTTAAATTGCCAAAGCGCAATGCGAGAAAAATTGTCTGCTATAATATTAAACGAATACAAATGGGATAGACAGCGTTGGTGCCATAAATAAGTACACACACTGGAAAATGAAATTATAAAGATTCAAATGAGGATGCTACGAAGTTCAGCTTGTAACTCTCGAAAGTGGATATAAATATATTGTAGCTTTCATATGCCGGAGAATATATTTTTGAATTATGTACTTGAAGAGTAGCTTTTTGAATAATAAAATAAGATTAAATGTTATTATGAGATACCCTTAAAAAATATTTCCTATTTTAATTAGGCTGTTCCTAAGCTAATAATTTTGACAGAAAATTTAAACAATAACATTGTATTTACCCAATCTTCACGAGTTTGCTTTCCTTCATTTCTCTCTTAATAAACAAGCGCGCTTGCATACATACACTCATACAAATATGCAACATATATTTTACAAGTGTATACAACTGCTTATAATATTCATCTTCCCTTTTCTTTTGTTCTTTCATCATCAAAAACCTTCAAGTGAGTGAGTACTTACATCCACATTGACACCGGGCAAGGGAAATGCTTGTCCTGGCGGCTTATCACGCGGAACATAACGGTAAAACTCATGTCCATCCTTGTACCATTTCACCGAGTACAATGACTCGCCGTCCAAATTATAGCGGCAGCCGAGTACCGCGCTCTTGAAACGCATTATATGATTGGGTATTTTTACTTCCGTCATTGTGAGCGAGTTGGATATGTCTGGAAAAGAGAAAAATATTGTTTTAGAAATTGTAAGATAATTTAAAGAAGATTGAATTCCTTATATTAATTTTGTAAATAAATAAATAGTTATTATAAAAAGTATAAATATTTTTTAAAAAATATATATATTGTCTGTATACTCCACAGGTCGTTGATACCACTATCCTATATTATTGTACTCGTCGTTTGTTTCGTCCCCTATTGGAAACTTGCGTGTCCGCTAGTTTTCTATATGAAATAGAAATCGCGTTGCCCTTCTATGGCGACTATCCAAAATTGGTTATTGGCGAGTTTCAAAATGCTCGCAAGCCGATTTTTGAGGAGCCAGACCTAGGTGCCCCGAAAGCGGCTACCATGGAAGACAACGTGACTAAAGACCATGCCCCTGTATGGGTAGACAATTGATTGGAGATGCACAGATAGCTAAGGCAGTAGGCATCTCAAAAAACCGCATGGGTCACATCCTTCACGAAATATTGGCCGTAAGAAAACTTTTGGCGCGGTGGGTGCCGCATTTCATTCCAAACAGCTTCCGAAAACTTCACTTGGAACATACCAAGGTACATCGAAACAGCAACGCATCTGCTTTAAAGAATTATTGGACCGAATCGAGGAAAAACTTTCTCTATTTGGCTACGAAAAAAGTACTTTTTCACCATTGCAACGCAACGGCTTACAGTTCCGCCGTGACCAAATTGATCGAATTAGGCTATGAACTACTGCTTCACAGTATTCTCCCTATTTCCCCTATGCGACTACGTTTTGTATCCAAGCTTCAAAAAGTCACTTATCGGGTAGATATTTGTGTCGAATAAAAGGGTGATTACCCCCTCGAAAACTTATTTTGCATCCCTGGAGGAGGCTATGGTTGAGAGGTTTTTTTTTCTTCCAAAATTTTAATTTTTCTTTTATTGCATAAACTTTTTCGAACCGCCCCCATATAGGTATATGCATAACTTTATATACCAACCATATTAGATAGTTAGTTAAAAGGGGTAATTCTAAGTAACTACGTTCGGCTGGAGGAGTATTTTGCATTTTTGTTCCCAAATAAAATTAAAAACCATAATTTTAAAATTGGTCTGATTATAATCTTAACAGAGCTTCTCAACATACGACAGATGAGATGACTTTAGTACCATAGGCGTCAACATACAACTAGACATTGGCACCTAAAAGTCACCAGGTAATGACTTACCTTCACTAGAAACATCAGAAATTTTATGGCATCTTTACTCATTTACAAAAATTATATGGCATTTGTAGGCATAAACAAAGCTTTCAAGCTGCGCATAGTTGCATATTCATGACTGCAGTTTGCCACACTTATAAGCTTTTTTTGAAAGCTTATTTCATTAAAGGGAAACAGCAGTGTCGGCTTTTATTCACAGCAACAGACTCTAAGGAACGACGCATCTATAAGGTAGGCACCCAGATGCATAATTCAGCTAGATTGCGACAATGCTTAGACAACGTAAATAAGTCGTCACACCTCTAGACACGAACGCCGGACTTGAATGCTTCAAAAAAAGAAGGCTAAAAGGAAATGTTGGAGCAACTACGAAAACTACGACAAAGTCTAAGCGCGCATCCGTCGCAAACACACACGTGCAAACGCGCGTGCTGTATTGACTGACAGTCAGAGTTCAATAACAAAGGGTCATTAGTAGTAGTGGTGGTAAACGGGGCGGCTGCACAAACAATGGACATTTAAGCCCGAATGAAATATCATTAACTCTAGCAGAGCCTTGCCATTGTACCACAGCCAAGTTGAGATGAATGAAGTATACCTACAACTCTATCAACGCCGCCAAAGCTTACATGGCAGCAGTCACTGCAGCACAAAAATAAAAGCGTAGAATAGCAAAGCATTTGCTTAGCAAGGCGAAATTGCATAGAAGAGTGGCGCATTAGAAGGTGAATTCTGTTCACTTGTCGCAGGGATAAACCCACACACACACACGCATGAACTTGAATGCAAATAAGTGTTTGCATGCACTGCGTCAACTTCGTAATTGCGTGCATAGATGAGTGTATGTGTGAGAGAATTTTGTTGTTGTTGCTGTATTCGTGTGCTAACGTATGACATCAAAAGATAAACTTATGCTGGTGCGCACCTTTTGCTGGCAAAACAAATTATGCCTGCTAGTACGGCATATTTCGCCAGAACACAGTGAGATGTACAATCATATGTGAGTAAGTGTGTGTGTGTAGTGCGCATCTAAGACACGTTGTTTATTCGAACTTTACAAGCAGTGTAAGTTATGTGAGAGCCGATGTGTCATTTGCGTGCATTAGCATGCGCTTGAAAGTTTCTCCTTGCGTCCTTTCTAAAAGCAGCACAAAAGCAACAATCTGAGTCTGCAGCGACAATAGGAACAACGCAGGATTTATTGGTGACGGCAGAGAGGAATAGCGATTAACTATTGCAGCTGTTATCTGTAATTTAAACGTGTGCGCACATAAGGGCATGAAAAGTTAAGAAATATTTAAAAAAATCACCTGCATCAAAGTACACGTGACAGAAGTGAATAGTTCTTTACCAAATATTAAATACTAAATTACAGTAACCATCACACTTACAAGTGGATCAGTTAAAAAATTTGGCAATGAGAATGGATTAACCCACTTTTAGTTGAATTTTCGCATTTGTGAACTAAACTAGGCCCTAAACGTAATTAGCTGCAGTTTAACAAAGGGCGCAGTCGGGATAAAACCACGTTTGTTTTCGTACTGATGTCATCAGATTATTAATTTTACAATATATAATGTAAACACCAATAAAGAGAAAGATATATTTAAAAGTTGCCAAAAAAGTGTAACTGACAACTATCATTACAAAACGTTCGAAATCTATCCCGAATAAACGGTATAACGGAAAAGTACTGATCTTATGTTAGATATCCCAATGCTATTAAATGAATATGTTTTCTTCACATAAATATGGTTTGGATCTTAAAATGGATATGAGTAGTTCATGTCTTTTCTAAGGTCAGATGTACCCTACATAATTATTTTGTGGACTCTATACTCATAGGTATCTCTGAATATGAAAAATATCTTAACCCGGTTAGATCTATTATTTTTTATACTTTCGCAACATGTTGAAAAAGAGTATAATAGCTTTGAGCACCTAATGATTGTTTGTTAATCGAAATAGATATGAAGGTGTGCATACAGCTACTTATAGTATGACGAGACAAGTTGAAATCCGATGAAAACGTATAAGACGCGAAAACTAAGCCAAAAATAAAGCTACAAGCTCTAATTTGATGCACCGAATAACAGTAGAAAGAGCCATCTGTGGTTTGAGTATCTTTAAGAAATGGTGTGGTTCCGCCCCTTATCAAGTTTAATGTAGATATCTTACATACCGCTAAATCTATATTAATCATATTCGCTGAGGTTAAATATTTCCGGTACCTCCTCCGACACTATGAAAATGGGTGGACTTGGACGAAAGTCCCACTTTAAATATAAAACAATGGGTAAAATTCCATATCCGATGAACTACTGGACCAATTTTAATCGAATTCGGAGCATTAGATTCTTTGGCAAGCCTCTACCACGGTGTAAAAATATACGAAATTGGATCACTTCCACGCCTACTACTCATATAACACAACTTTAAATTTTAATTCTTTCACTTTATATAATACAAATGAAGCAGCAATAAATATTTCGAGATAAAGCTTTCCACAAAGAGTGCCTTTAAGTTACGACATTTCAAGTCCAAAAATATTTGAAATCGAAGCCTCTGATGCTGAATATGTGAACCCGAGCTCCTTTGGTTCCTATGGTTGTATTTGTGTTTTAAGGCTGTGAGTAAGGATGAAAATTTGATGATTTGTGTGTTGATTTGCGTAAAGGAAATTCAGAAAGTGGTTTGAAAGGGAAAAGTGTCCGACTCTGGTTGCCGGTTGTTCGTTCATGTTAAATAAAAGGGAAGGGTCAAAAAGAAAGGTTGCCAAAAAAAGCAACAAAAGTTTTCGCATCTGAACTCAGATTTAGGTGACTAGTTTGCTCCAATTTCCTTCCAGTAAACTGCGATTTGTGGAATTCTGCGCAGTGGCGAACATGAACCTTTCGAAAACACTTTATAGGGTCTTATTGCGCTATGTACATTCCTTTTGAATTTTATATAGAAGATGTTTAAGAAATAGAATGCAGAATCCTTGCGATTTATATTTTCAACCGTGTGTCTAGCAGTCTTTCAAGAAACTGCTTATTTAGTCCAGTAATTAGAACCAAGGGCTCGGCCTGAGTTACATTTACGTAATCATAAACATTCAACAAAACCTACTTTGGCAAACGAAAACGATATTTTTTTTTTAAACGCACTGTACCTACTAACCGGGATGTAGAGCAGGTTCGCCTCCGCGTGGTGCATCCTGGGTAACGCCAAATGACCCAGCAGCCTTACGGCCTTTTCTTGAACTCCTGATCTGACCTTCCTCGACCTGACATAGCTTGACAATTGATGGATCTGCTGAACTGGGCTGGTGGTCTTGGTATCTGTCACCTGAGTATGCAGGTGATACCCTGCAGAAATGTCTGATAGGCTAATGCCGTCGCCGGTGAGGCAGGGGTCGGCAGGAGTCTTCCGACAGCAAACTTGGTAGGGCGGAAGTGCGAGCGGAATCGCCAGCACTAGCAGAGGAACCCTGCTAAGTTCATGGGGCATGGGGTCCTCGATGAACGCCATGGCCCAGTGGGGAAGCGAGTGACTTCAGCAAAAGCTGCCGGTAAAGCTCTCATGTCGGTGCAAGATTTCAGACCCATCAGCCTATCCTCGTTTTCTGAAAACGCTGGAGAGACTTATGGATCTGACATTAGGTGCAGAATACCGAGGGTAAATGTTACGGGCGCAGCATGCCATATCAAGCAGCTCGGTCGACACTGCTTTGATGATGTAGTGTCTGGCTGGAGACAGCGCTGATGAAGCGAATTTGCAGTGAGCATCTTCGACATCGAGGGGCCTTCAATAACGTGCGGCC